GAAGAATCGCTTGAACCCGGGAGGCAGAGGTTGGAGGGAGCCGAGATGGCGCCCTTGCACTCCAGCGTGCCCACAGAGGTGGATTCCGTCTAAAAAAAAAAAAAAAATGTAGAGACAAGGTCTTGCTGTGTCACCCAGGCTGAAATGTAGTGGGCCAACCATAGCTCACTGCAGCCTCCAATCCCTGGGCTCAAACAATTCTCCTGCATCAGCCTCTTGAGTAGCTGGGACCACAGGCACACACCACCAGGCCTAGCTGTTCACCCATTTTTCAAGTGTTCATTTTCCCCCCATTCATGTTTTGTGTACCATTATCCTCTTAATGGAAATTGGCTACTAACGATTCCACATGTGTTGAGAATATTTTTCTAGTCATTTGCTTATTGTCTTTAATTGCAATTAATGGAATCAAATTCTTTGCCTTCTTTTACCTTATGGCACCTGGGTGTAGGATGATTGAGAAACCATTAATTTGAACCAAAAATTTGGTTCTGTCCTTTTTTCCAGTTTGAGGACTTTATTTTTGCCGCTATGTGTTTTGTTTTTTTTTTTGTTTCGTTTGGTTTTTGAAGTTCTGGGTATATGTGTGCAGGGATGCTGCAGATTTGTTACACAGGTAATACGTGTTCCATGGTGGTCTGGCTGGATCTCTGCTCCACTTGGTCTTTTTTTTTTTTTTTTTTTTTTTTGATGACAGCAGATCAGTCTAGGCTCTGATTGTAAGGCTGCAATTGCAAGCCGCACGATACGGTCAGGCTTCACTGCAACTGTGCCTCCTGGGTTCGAGTGATTCTCCAGTCTCAGCTTCCTGAGGGTGATTCAGGCATGCAGGCAGCGACGCCCAGCTAAGTTCTATTTTTTTTTTTTTTTTTTTTTGAGACGTAGTCTGGCGCATCTTGTTCTGTCGCCCAGGCTGGAAGTACAGTGGCTTGGGTATCTCAGCTCGACTGGCATATCTGCCGTCCTCCCGGGTTTATGCCATCTCCTGCTCAGCCCCTCCCGAGTAAGCTGGGGGACCTACAGGCTGCGTCGCACCTCGCCCGGTAGTTTTTTGTGT